CTATTAATAAGTTATTAAGGTTTGACAAATCATCACACACATTTATAAAATTGCTAGTACAAGAAAAAAGAAACCGTAATCTCTCATTCTTGTTCCCTTATGTGAATTATCATTGGAGGTGGGAGAATTTGACAGTTGTGGTGTGGAAATCGTTATTGTTCATGTTCTAAGATTACAACAATTTCTATTTAAAAACAAAGAAAATCCTTAATGGGAATTGAAATTATTTTAAATTTCGTTATGTATGTATAAGTAAATTTTCAACATCCGCCTAACAGTAAACAAAGTTTTCGATGTCTCTTCTTTATTTTGAAGAATGGTGGTGGTAGTGGTGGGACAATTTTAGGAGAAATGGTGGTGGTGGAGGAGAAAGAGGAAGAGGAAGGAAAATTTTATTTTTAGTCTTGATATTGTAATTATTTATCTGGAACTCATTTCTAGTTTTTTGAAATTGTTGGGACCATGATTGTAATTATTTCTTTATTTTTTTTCCTTCTTTTTTGTTTTATTTAATTGGGAAGGTATATTTGTCATTTCACAATTTTTTACTGAGAAAATGGACGGCCGACAGTATTTTCATACTAAACATTTCAAACATGAACATCTTGTGCTATTTCCAAAAGGTAGGGGGTTTTTGATAGTTTGAGCAATAGGCAAGGGGTATTATGCTATTTAGCCTTAAATTATAGATAATTTTGTATTTTTCTGTTAATTTTTTTCTTTATTCGTGGAAGGAATTGTTGGAAAAAATAATTAGTTGCAGTAGTAATCAGAACAATATAATACAGAAATATAAAACTTATCGTCCGATGGAGTCTCGTGACAGCACGATATCCTAAAGTGAAATTGTCCGTCAATAATTGCTGCGACTTCCGTGGACAATCACTCCCAGGATACAACGATCGTAAACCACTTGTGCAGCAATCACGAATGGTTTTTCTAGAACTCTCAATTGTACTCCAGAATAAATGTAATAACCCAAATATAAGAAATTCAGAATATGAAAAGAAGGATTGATGCAAGATGATTTTTCTATTTTCTTTTTGTGTGTATTTTCCCAAAACGAGATATGGTTTTATATAGGCAAGATGGAAATAACAGTCTTCACCATGTTAATGCAGAATTTTAATGACTGAGTAGTGTGTGTTTTAATGGCTGTTAGTGGGTTGTTACGAAAACAAACAGTCAGAAAATACTGGCTAGTTTTACCCATTAAAGAATAAAAAAATCATTTATTTTAGTCAAGGAAGCCCAAGAGCCCAAGGCCCCAATCAAGACATTTTAATATCTACGTGGAGAGTGACTTCAATCCCTGACGTCCCACACAAATGTCACATTTTCCACCACTTTGGCACTTTATCTAATTTGATTATTTCTTTCACATTTTATATTTATACCATAAATATATAACAATCCCCCACATGGAAGAAATAAGATAAAAGAAAATATTACTCTGGAGTACGGTAGAAATCATGCAGGCTTAGGTGTCTATCAACTTAAACATTTGCTTTGTATATTCTATCGAGCTTACTAACTGTAGAGTGAACTATGTCTTGAACTCTACAATTATAGTTTCAAACTGAGACAATAGAACACACACATGATTTCTAGAACAGTCATTGAGTTCTCGCGATTGTGTTCATTTCGACCGTGAGCTTTCCCAATTTCTTTGAGTGCTCTAGAGAATTCACCTCAATTCTCATAGGAAGCAGCCCCACTTCCACACTCAAATAGGTGCTACTATCAAAGGTGCACTGTATTTAAACATCCCACTGAATATCAGCTATAGTAAGCATTAAGAGTATTAGCTCATCCTCTAATCAATACAGTTAGTACTACGCATCATAGGGAGGGGTTTGGAATAAATTCAATGTAGTACCCCCACAGACCACTCCAATAACTTTGTTGTCCCATTGAACCTTGACCATGGGATCTCCAATTGCAAGGTTGGATTTCCATTATAGGTGATCTAATAAATAATAGGTTTAAGCCCCATCCCCCTCGATGTTTGTTGAATTAGCTCTCTAGCAATCCTTTGGTTAATGGGTCAACAATGTTATCACTTGACTTCAAATAGTTATAATCCCATCCTTAAGCAGCTGACGCACAGTATTGTGCCTCCTACGAATATGTCTAGACTTTCCATTTTAGGATAAATTTTGAGCTCTTGAGATAGCTGCTTGACTGTCACAATGTATTGAAATAGTTGGAAATGGTTTAGACCACAAAGGAACATCCATAAGAAAATTCCTTAACCATTCAGCCTCCTCACCTGCCTTATCTAAAGCTATGAACTCAGATTCCATAGTAGATCTAGTAATGCAGGTTTGCTTAGTGGATTTCCAGGAGACAGCTCCGCCTGTTAATGTAAATACATATCCACTTGTAGATTTACTTTCATTGGTATTGAAAATCCAATTAGCATCACAATATCCCTCAAGTATAGCAGGGAATTTGGTATAATGTATTCCCAGTCTAGAGTGTATCTCAAATACCTCAAGGCTCGAATGAGAGCATCCCAATGTTCATTGTTAGGATTACTAGTATACCTGCTAAGTCTGCCGACAGCATATGCTATATCAGGTCTTGTACAGTTCATGAGATACATGAGACTGCCGATTACTTTAGCATACTCTAAAGCAGAAACACTAGGACCTAAATGTTTTCTCAAATGACGGCTTGCATCATAAAGTGTTTTAGCAGGATATAGTTGTATTGATTAAAATTTTTAAGCACCTTTTCTATATAATGTGATTGGGTCAAAATAATTCCTTTAGAATGTCTTACTATTTTGATTCCTAGAATAACATCAGCAATACCCAAATCTTTGATTTCAAAGTGCTTGTTCAGAAACTGCTTAGTTTTATTAACCACATCTAAACTAGTTCCCATAATCAGCATATCATCAACATAGAAGCAAATTATCACACCACAATTATTTTCAAATTTGCTATATATGCATTTATCTGCTTCATTTATCACATAACCACTTGATGTCAAAACTGTATCAAATTTTTCATGCCATTACTTAGGAGCTTGTTTAAGGCCATAAAGGGATTTTTTAAGTCTACATACTTTATCCTCAAGGCCTTCTACAACAAATCCTTCAGGCTGATCCATATAAATCTCCTCTTCTAAGTCTCCATTTAAAAATGCAGTCTTGACATCCATTTGATGTATACTAAGATCATACAGTGAGGCAATTGCAATTAACATCCTAATAGAGGTAATCCTAGTAACGAGTGAATAAGTATCAAAGAAGTCAACTCCTTTTTGTCTATAGTCTTTAACTACAAGTCTTGCTTTATACTTATCAATTGAACCATCAGTTTTAAGTTTTTTCTTAAACAACCATCTATACCCAATTGTCTTACATCCTTGAGGTAAGTCCACTAACTCTCAAGTATTATTAGACATAATTGAATCATATTCACTATTTATAGCTTCCTTCCAAAATATAGAATCTGGTGAAAACATAGCTTCACCAAAAGTACTAGGATCATCGTCTACTAAGTAGGTTATAAAGTCAGGACCGAAAGAAGTAGTGGTCCTAGGTCTTTTGCTTCTCCTAATTTTAGCTTCTTCTAATTTAGATGGCTCCTCTCTAACACTAGGAGGAATACTAAAAGAAATGCTTGATCCTTCAGACTTTTCTTTAAACGGAAATCTATTTTCAAAAAATTCAGCATCTCTAGTTTCAAATATTGTGTTCTTTTCAATCAAATTATTTCTAGAGTCAATGACTAAGAATCTGTAGGCATTACTATGAAAAGCATACCCTATAAAAACACAATCAACAGTTTTCGGACCAAGTTTAGTTCTCTTAGGTGCTGGAATAGAAGCTTTAGCTAAACACCCCCACACTTTAAGATATTTATATGAAGGTGTTCTGCCCTTCCACATTTCATAAGGAGACTTATTATTTTTCTTACTAGGAATTCTGTTAAGAATATAACATGCAGTAAGAAGTGCTTCCTCCCACATGTTAAAAGGTAATCCAGAAGAGCTTAGTATTGATATGACCATAGCCTTAAGGGTTCGATTTTTCCTTTCAGCTACACCATTAGATTGGGGAGAATAAGGTGGAGCAGGCTCATGAATAATACCATTCTCAACACAAAATTTATCAAAATCTCCTGTATATTCTCCTCCCCTATCAGATCTTAAAACTTTAATAGTTTTGTCTAGCTGATTTTCTACTTCAATTTTATAGGAAATAAATTTTGAATAGCTTTCATCATTGCTCTTAAGTAGATAAATATAACAATATCGAAAATAATCATCTATGAAAGTTAAGAAATATTTATTTCCAGCACGAGTAACATATCATTTTAAGTCACATAAATCAGAATGTATCAAACTTAAGACCGAAGTAATCCTATCAACACGAGGAAAAGGTTTTCTAGAATATTTAGATTCAACGCACGTTTCACATTTTGAATTTGGACAATTATCGATTTTGGGAATGTTTCCCAAACTCATTAATTTTTTAATAGAAGTTTTATTAATGTGTCCAAGTCTAGAATGCCACAAATCATAAGAATCCAACAAGTAAACGGAAGAGCTAGATGATTTATTGTTAATCACAGAGATATTGAGTTTAAACAGACTCTCATCTGCATACCCTTTCCCAACAAAGGAACCACCCTTAGTACAATTTGACCACTTTCAAATACAATCTTAAAATCCTTTTTTACTAAGATAGATCCAGATACTAGATTTTTCCTAATATTAGGTACATAAATGACATCCTTCAAATTAATGATATTTCCAGAAGTAAATCTAAGCGTCACAATTCCTTTCCCCTCGATTTTGGAGGAGGAAGCATTGCCCATGAACAGGTATTCTCCATCACTAGCGGGAGTGAATGAAGAAAATGCACCTCTCGTGCAGCAAATATGTTTGGTAGCTCCAGAATCCACCCACCAATCTATCATGTTGCTTACTAGATTTACTTCTGTCACCATAGCAGAGAAATTCCCATCCTCTACCACATGTGCCTAATGCTTCACAGCTTTTCCTTTCCTATTTCTGCAATCCTTTGCAAGGTGACCTGGTTTACCACAAACAAAATAGTCACCAACAATTTTATTTTTAAACTGGGGCTTAGACCGATTGTTCTTTCCTACAAATTGTTTTCCCTTGTTTCTGCCTTTAAAATTCTGACCCCTTGTAAAATTTCCAATTGGTTTCTTAGTCCTAGAACTTCCTTCAATAAGATTAGCCTTGGTATCAAAGTCTGGCCTTTCTTTACGTTCTGCCATTCTATTGTCCTCCTCGATTCTAATTCTGATAATCATATTCTCTAAGAACATTTCTTTTCTCTTATGCTTCAAACTATTTTTATACTCTTTCCAAGAAGGTGGCAATTTTTCAATTATAGCTGACACTTGAAAGCCCTCATAGATTTTATATCTTTCAGCAATAATTTCGTGAATTATAATCTGCAATTCTTCAACCTGACTAACCACAGTTCTAACATCATTCATTTTAAAATATAAAAACTTTGCCACCACAAATTTCTTGGTTCCAGCATCTTCTGTAGCATATTTCTTTTCTAATGAATTCCATAACTCTTTTGCAGATTTACACGAGTAGTAAACATCATACAGATCTAAAATCAAACAATTCATAATATAATTCTTGCACATATAATCCTTATGTTCTCCATTAGCTAAATCCTCGGTTTCCTTATCAGTAGGATTATTAGCAATTGCAAAACCGAGTTTATTTGATTCAATAGCATCAACGACTTTAAGTGTTGTCAAATAAAATCACAGTTTCATTTGCCATCTCTTAAAATTCTTTCCATCAAACAACTCAAGCTTTTTAGAATACTTAGGAACAAATATATCTATGGCAGACATGACAACTAATTATAAAGAAAAATTCATTTTAGATTGTTGGAAAAAATAATTAGTTGCAGTAGTGATCAGAACAATATAATGCAGAAATATAAAACTTATCGTCTGATCGAGTCTCGCGACAGCACGATGTCCTAAAGTGAAATTGCCCGTCAATAATTGCTGCGACCTCCGTGAACAATCACTCCTAGGATACAACGATCGTAAACCACTTGTGCAGCAATCACGAATGATTTTTCTAGAACTCTCAATTGTACTCCAGAATAAATGTGAAAACCCGAATATAAGAAATTCAGAATATGAAAAGGAGGATTGATGCAAGATGATTTTTCTATTTTCTTTTTGTGTGTATTTTTCCCAAAACGAGATATGGGTTTATAGAGGCAAGATGGAAGTAACAGTCTTCACTTTGTTAATGCAGAATTTTAATGACTGAATAGTGGGTGTTTTAATGGCTGTTAGTGAGTTGTTGCAAAAACAAACAGTCAAAAAATACTGGCTAGTTTTACCCATTAAATAAAAAAATCATTTATTTTAGTCAAGGAAGCCCAAGAGCCCAAGGCCCCAATCAAGACATTTTAATATCTGGGTGGGGAGTGACTCGAACCCCTGACGTCCTGACGTCCCACACAGATGTCACATTTTCCACCACTTTGGCACTTTATCTAATTTGATTATTTCTTTCACATTTTATATTTATACCATAAATATATAACGGAAATGTGAGAGAACAATCCCAGATATCCAGGAACGCGGCTCACTAAGTTTTTATCCAAGAGAATTTGTCAATCTGCCTAGATATTGCGTTTTATTTTTAATTCAAGTGCACTAGAAATAAATTATTCATTTTAGAAAATTTACAAATATTATTCACCAGTCATTTATATTTATTTATAATTCGAACAGTTTAAAAACAATTTTCAAATAAGACATATTAATTAATTAATTAATCGTACACTTGTGCAAAAATTAAAAAATACGTCAGATCCCCCACTTGGGCTTCCCACTACCGCAAAAAATAAAATAAAATAAAAGCTCTGTCCCTGGACAGAAGATTAAAAACGAAACCCAATAAATATATTAATATTGTATATATATTTTGAAGGATTTAATTGTATCGTGGGTTGTAAGGAATGGGGCACTGTCCATGCTTTGATAGGAAAAAAGGAATAAAATTGCAGAACGAGGAAAAGAAGGATCAAATGCCATACTTGGATTTGATTATCCCTCAAGACCCTTCCGGTTAGTTCAATATTTTCCGTTCTTCTTGTTTCTGGGTTCATGATCTTTATCATAATTGGAATTGTTTTTTTGACATAGCTCACATTTCATTTATTCGGTTTTTACATACTACATCATAGTTTGGTTTAATGATATATTTCTACGAGGAATGCTAATGTCATTAACGGTTATTTGTGGCAATCTTGACAAGTTTTCGTAAGTAAAAAGTCCAGAATGCTGCAAAATACAATTGAGCCTTGTCACAAATTTTCTAGTTGGGATATTAGTAGTTTATCTTATTTCTTTCTTTCTCACTCTTAGACTGTTCCTAAATTCGTATGGAGTGAAAATGAGTACAAAACTGGAGCAGATACCGGATTCCTCAGTCTCAAAGGATGATGATCAACCTAAAAGTAAGGTTTTGACTTTCTCTTATCGTGAACTTGCAACCGCAACTAACAATTTTAGGCAAGAATCTCTCGTTGGAGAATGTGGCTTTGGGTCTGTATACCAAGGGAAATTAGAAAGCACTGGCCAGGTAATCTTTTGCTAGCATAAAAAACTAAAAATGGCCCATCTTTAGGCCTTCTCTTAATGTTCACAATTTCCAATATGTACTTTACAAGAGCTGGAAATGTGTAGACATAACAAGTTGTAACTAATGGCAGATTGTAGCTGTTAAACTTCTTAATCGATCTGGTTTACAAGGGAACAAGGAGTTGTTGGTAGAGGTTCTCATGCTTTCTTTACTGCGGCACCCAAACCTTGTCAATTTGATTGATTCCTGTGCTGAGAGGGAGCAGAGGCTTCTTATATATAATTGCCTTTGGGATCATTGGAAAGTCACCTCCACGGTAATACATCAATGACAAATACTTATTTGGCATCAAAGACATTCAGAATTTTTCCTCTAATGATACTTTTTTAGTTTAAGATAGCAATGGAGACATTTATTGTATCTTTTTTTTTTTTTATTATTGAAAATCAGATTTTTGAAATTGACAATGATCTCCTTTTCTGAGTGAATTAGAATGTTCTTTTTACATTTATCAGATGATATCTATATAGATGTATCTTATATATTTCGTACAATGAAATACCACATTGGTGGATATCTATATGAATCCAAACATGTTGAATCAATCATGGTATGATCTTCTATATCCTAGGTCTTCCCATTTCGTCATTCAGCTTATGTTCTTCACATAACGTTCAAACCAAATGACTCTATGAGATTACGTCAATACTTCCACATATTGTGGATAAGGTAGTAAACATCTCTATTTGATACTTCAAAATTTGCCAAATCTTGGTAGTCCTTATATTTTTTTTTTCTTTTTTTCTTTTTTTGGGTAAATGAAATTTTTTTGTCTTCTCCTGCCTTGCAATAGTAGTTAATTATCTCATTTTAGGCTTTTCCTTTTCTTTTTTTACTGGTAAGAGTGAGGGACAGAAACTACTCACTTCTGTCAGGGCTAGCTTATGGTTCCCCTTCAGGCCTGATGCTAATATCCTTCAACAGGTGATAATCATGCGCAAAGTCTCCACTCTGGCAAAACCCATCTATGATGGTATTAGGTTATATTTTCTCATTGCTCTAGGCCACGTGGCAGGCAGGTGTAATAATCATATCCAATCCAAATCCATTTTAACCAGATTAGTCGTTGCAAGTTTAGAAGACCTTTTTAATTGTATATAACTCATTTGACTGTCCGTATTTTGGCATGATTACCAGTTGGACACCATGATCTGTCACTTCATTTCAAACCACATTGCTTCATTCCCTATTGTTTTGTTCATAAATTTGTATTTACCTAAGGCTTGTTAAGACACATATATGAATTTCTTCTGTAAATGTATGATTGTCAAACCATATGCAGATCTTACACCCGACATGGATCCCTTGAACTGGAATATGAGGATGAGGATAGGAGCCAGTGCAGTCGATGGTTTGAGTGACCTGTGTAAAGATTTGGGGTTCCATCTTAAAAGATCAACCTTGTTAAGAGGAGTAATCCAATTCTTTATAAATTGGTCTATGTTTTCATCTTTATTCGATGTGGGATTTCATCCCTTAACATGCTCCTACAAAATGGTGGCTCGTTTGAGCAAACCAATAAATCTGTATGCTCATTTATTGAGTTTTAATCGGATCGAATCACTCGTTGGAGCTTAATGGGCTTTGATATCATGTAAAGATTTGGGGTTCTATCTTAATAGGATCAATCTTGTTAAGAGAAGTAGCCCAATTCTTTATAAGTTAGTCTATGTTTTCATCCTTATTCGATGTGGAATTTCATCCCTTAACAACCTGCATCACCAGGCGGATCCACTAGTCATTTACAAGGACTTGAAATCGTCTATATATTATTGGATGAAAGGTTCCACCCTAAACTTTTTTGATTTTGGATTTGCAAATTTTGTTTCGATTGAATATGCCAGCACTGGAAAACTTACGCTAAAGTCAGATTTATACAGTTTTGGCATAGTCTTGTTGTAGTTAATAACTGGACGTAAACAATTGGATCCAACTCGTGGAAAGGGAAAGCACATGCTTCTCGATTGGGTAAATTTCCTATATAGTTGCTGATTATGAGAAACTGCAAGTTTTCAAAACCATATATATGCTTGTTAGCTAATTGCATATTCACAGGTGACATGCCAAAATGTAATAGTTGCACCTTGCAAGTTTTTGGTGAAAGTAAGATAATTTTTTAGCCAATGTATTTGGTAATTCTACATTTATCTGACCATTAACTTGTTAATATCACTCGAATACAAACTGTCTTTAATAAATGGAATGCGAACGGACCATTAGATACTATTAACTTTCCCCTTTTACTAGCGATTTCAAGTAAAAATTGGAGTAGGGTTTTCCAGTTATGTATACTACTTAAGATATTTAATGACTGAATTCTCCATCAAGTTCTTCTTCTTCTTCTTCTTCTTCTTCTCTCTCTCTCTCTCTCTCTCTCTCTCTCTCTCTCTCTCTCTATTTTATCTCCCTTCCGTTATGCATGTCATAGAGAGAAATTTTTTTTACGCAATAGGATCTGATCTTTTATTTGCTTCTAATTATCTAGTATCGCTATAAACATGCTTTTATCTATATAGGCACGTCTTTGTTAAAAGACTGCAAGAGCTTTGTGCAATTGGCTGATCCACAACTGAAAGGCTAATTTTCAGAATCCGTTTTTTGTAGGGCCATTGAAGTGGCATTAGTGTGCCTTCGAGAGTGTAATTGTATAATTAGAGCATGATTTGTGCAATTGTATAATTAGAGAGTGATTTTTGTAATTAGCATTAATTACTTACCTTATGTGCTTGCTTCCTTCATCTATAAAAGAAGGGCTCTTGTATAATTTTATTTATCACAAAATACAGAAGTTATTCACAATTTTTCATCTCTTCTCTTAGTTTCAACATGGTATCAGAGCCATCTTTGGTTCTTGGCCTCTAGTTGGTGTCTTTTTTTGGTTTTACGTATTCCATCGCTCTGTCACCACTTCTAGCCTTCGTTCATCGATTCTTTTGGTATTCCAATGTCATAAATTGATCATGTTGCTCCAGAGCTTTCGTTTGGTGCAAAAATCATTCCGATCCAACATCGTCACATCTGTCGTCACTCATCGTCCTCCAATGACCTTCTGCCACTTTTTCGGCCAGTTTTTCGTGCTCATTCCATCAGCGCTGTCCTTTTGCTCTAAC